TGGAGCCTGTCTTGCAGATCGACTCGTACGAGCGGCTGTACGAGGAGGTGTCGCGGTGCGAGAACACGCAGGTGTTCAGTGGGTGGCTGCAGTGCGACTGCCGGCCCTTCAAGCAGGCGCTGCTCAACACCATCAAGCGCTGGAGCTTCATGTTCAAGCGCCACCTGAGCAACCATGTGGTCAGCAGGTGGGCGCCCCCCACACCCCGCTGCCCGGACCATGCCAGAGGGCAGACAGGGGGTGTGGGAGGGCGAAGGTCCAGCTGAGAGGCAGCACCCCACCTCGGGCGGTGCCAGCAGGAGGGGCACCTGGCTGCCAGGACACTCCACTGCCTCCCCCGCACTCACGGTAACCAGGTGCCGAGTACCCCCAGGAGCCTAGAGCCTGGCTGGGTGGCCTGACAGGTGGCGAATGTCCCAGTGACGGTGCAGCTGCAGGCGGCGGGCAGGTCCTGAGTGCATGGGGCTGAGCTGAGGGCGGGGAGGCAGCAGGGGCCTCCCTGGATCTGCCCCTCAGGCCGAGGGGAGCGGGTGGAGAACAGCGCGTCCGGGATGGACTGGAGGAGGAGGGGCACCTGTCACAGGCGCTGTCTCGCCCCGCAGCCTCGGTGACCTGGAGGCCTTCATGAAAGCCGCCAGGGCCGGCCTGAAGACGCCGGTCAGGGAAGGGGATTACGACGGCCTGGTGGAGGTGATGGGGCACCTGATGAAGGTGAAGGAGCGGCAGGTGGCCACCGACAACATGTTTGAGCCCCTGAAGCAAACCATCGAGCTGCTCAGGACGTACGGGGAGGAGATGCCGGAGGAGATCCACGTGAAGCTGCAGGTGGGCGGCGGGGGGGCCTCGGCGTCCGGGGCAGGGAGGGCGGCCAGGAGCCCTGGCCGTGGCCGGGGGAGGGGCTGTGGACGAGACCCCTTCTTGTGGACACGGAGCAGAGGTGGAGGAGCTGCGGCTCAGGTCCAGGTTGTGTGGGCAGCTGGCTGCGGACCCGTGCTGAGGGCTGGGCGTGTGGGTGGCTGGTTCCAGGAGCTCTGGGACTGCAGACCGGGTGGGGAGTGGCGGGGAAGCGGTGAGATGAAACGGGTTAGAGGTGCGCCGCAGCTGACGGAATCCCTGAGCTCATCGTAGAAGGTGAAACCACGGCCATCTGTGGGCAGAGTCCGGGGGTTGGATTTTTTCTTTAAAATATTTTATGGTTTTAAGAACAATATTTGCCCAGGTCTGAAGAACTTGTAAAATATAACAGGGTAGTGGCTGCCAGGGACAGGGTGCGGCGGCAGCTGCAGCGATGACACAGGCAGTTCCTTCGTGGTGACAGCCCTGCGGGGACCGGGGCAGTGGCTGCAGGAATCTATGCATGGGATAAAATTGCCTAGGATTTTTGCAACTTCGATGTGGCCTTTTGAAACTCTCTCTCTCTCTCTCTCTCTCTCTCTCTCACACACACACACACACACACACACACACACACACACGTATACACACACTGCACATACATGCATGCATACGTGTGTACATACAATGCACAGCACACGTGCATGCACACACGGGCTCAGGTCACCTGGGCCACAGTCGCGTGCAGATGCCGCTGCCTGGCGTGGTTGCTGGGAGCGGCTCCCTGGGGCCTGTTTCCCGCCGGAAAGTCTGAAAAGAGCAGAACTAGGAGCGCCCCTGCCTCTGCCGGCCTAGGAGCTGCCGGAGCAGTGGACCAACACCAAGAAGCTGGCCATCCTGGTGAAGCAGAACGTGGCGCCCCTGCAGGCCAACGAGGTCAACATCCTGCGGAGGAAGTGCCAGCAGTTCGAGGTTAGGCGTGGGGGCTCCAGAGCTGGCGGCAGGCGGCAGCTCATCAGAGACACAGGATGGCCAGGCCAGAGCGGCTCGCACTGCAGAGGTGGGTGGGCCTGGCAGCGGGAGGCAGAGGGTCATCCCCACCCCGGGAAGAGCAGGGAGGGAGCCCATGGGGATGGGAGGCTGGGTTGCCCCTGCAGCTCTAGGGGAGTCCCCGCTGGAGGCCTGGGACCTGGGAAACTGGGGGTGGGGGTGGGGTGTGAAGGGAGACCCTAGCCTGAGCCGTAGAGCCATGACCACCAGCCTTCACTACCTGCTTTGTGCGGAGGTGGGGCTGGCAGGCCTCTCATCCCACATCCCCTCGCCCTCCTGGCTGGGGCAGTCCTTTGGTGCCAGTGGCTCTGAGGAAGGCCCAGGGCCCAGGGCCCACCTGCGTGCAGGGGCGGCCCTGCTCACCGCATCCCTCGCCACCCGCCCGCAGGAACAGAAGAGCATCCTGGCCATGGAGCGCATCATGGAGGGGCTGTGCAAGTCGGGGAGCCTGTTCGAAGTCGCTGTGCCCGACTACAAGCAGCTCAAGGCGTAAAATAATAAGTATTTATAAGTAATTAAACATTTCAATCATTTTAAGTAGGTTAAGGCTATTTGAGACTGATATTACCTACATATTCTATCTACATTTGTAAAAATGACTATTTGATTAGCTGGTCTCCTGGCCTGGGGGGGGGGTCTCTCTCCACAGCATCTCTGCACAGACCTCTCTCTCTCCTCCTCCTCCTCCCTCACATCTCACCTCTCTTTAAAATGTTTAAAAAATAGCCCAGCCGGGAGGCTCAGCGGGAAGTTGCCCTGGTTTCCCCTCATGAGTGGCGCCTCCGCCATTGGCCGTCCTCATCTTCCCTCCCTCCCGCCGCCTGCGTCCGGCAGCGAGGCTCCTGGGCCGTACCCCGTGGCCTTTCCCGAGGACCCGCTTTGCGAGTCCTGCCCCTTCTCCGTGGCTCCGCTGCCACCCTGTCCACCGGCCTCACCGCCGCTCCCTCCTTCCTCCGGTTTGCTGGGGTTTGGTTTGCTCTCTCCTCTTCATTTCCTGGTTTGATTATTGATCGGACCCGTTTCACCTTTTCCCGCGTGAACATTCAGTGTCGTGGGACCGCCTCTCGGCTGTAGCCACGCCACCTGTTTGGGTATTTCCTGCAGTTCTGCGTGGTCTTTGCCTTCTGTTTGTCTGTTTGCTTTTTATTTCTTTGAGGCTCCGCTCGAGCCTCGGGTGGTCTGGAAGCCTGTCTTCAGTCCCGAATGCCGGGCATTTTCCTGTTGCCTTCCTGCTGCCGATTCCTGGTCTGACTCCAATGCGCAGAGAACAGTCTGTGGCTTCAACTGGGTTTACGTTCCTTAGGCTTGTCCTCTGGCGCAGCTACGGCTTATCTGGGGGGCGGTCCCCTGGGCACCTGGGGGGTGGGGGGTGGGTAGGGGGGAGCACGTTCCGCTTTTGTTGGGCGGAATGCTGTGTGTGCCGGTCAGACCCTGTGGTCGGTCTTGTGGTTCGGTCCTTCTATGTCCTAACAGATTTTCTGCCAAAATAGATTTTAAGTGCTAACTTCCAAGTTGTATCTTTTTAAAATTTTATCTTTTATTTTCGATCTTTTAAGTTGCATCTCTCCCACAGGGTTGTTTTCCCCCTGTACCCACCCAGTTCACCAACCTCTGTCATTCCTTCTAAGGGGTCCTCCCTGGCATTG